CACGCCGGGGCCACCATAACAAGGTCTAAACCTCAATCTCTTCCCTCCCACCAATACGTCGGCTAAAAGTCTCTTCATCATCCGCCGAGTCTCAATACTCGGCACTTCACTCAAATTATTATAAATAGGGACCCCACCCACCTTCCTCTTGCCTCTCCATGTACGAGCAGTATATCCTCAATCAGAGATTCTTAACTTAGGTATCAGACAATTCAGATTCTTCCAACCTGGGTGATGGCCATTACTCCCACAAGAGGGTGAGTGAAGTCCTTTTACAATCTACTTCGGCCGGGGTGGTTATGGTCTCGACCACACATTGGGTACAAACTCTTGTACACGGCAGGTGAGCTCAGCCTTGATGGCAGTCTGACAGGTTCTATATGATTGTTTTTTTTGGTTTTTTTATTGAGGTTTTGTATTTACTTGTACATAGATATACTGTGTTTGGAGGGTGTGTATCATAGTAGTATTGCATCGCCAAATATGGCGGTTTTCCCAGTGAGTAGTACGCAATCGCACTCGTGGTGGTCTTGAACACGATCTTGAACGATTGCTACGGTTGAAAGTGTTGTGTATATCATAGTGATTGTCATGAGTGGAAAAGCCAAGGCTTCTGATGGGTCGGCATTGCGTTGGGCTAACCCAGGTTCTTCGGTAGGTCGGGTCAAGTTAGTTGGGTTAAGTCTGAGAGGGACCGATCTGGGTTGCCCAATGAACCGACACTCTTTTCGACATAGTGATATCCTGATTTATGTGTTGAAGAGCGATCATTGCTGTCACCATGGGAACGGTAGTTCAACCGCTTAGTCCCCCTAAAAATTGTCTATATCTGGGCAGGTTAGTTTATGCGAAGCACTAATGTATAACCCTCCCCTTTTGAGTATTCTTGCGTTATCACTCGTTCTCACAATTTCTGATCTATTTATTTATTTTAAAAAAGAATGCTTGAAGGTGTAGTTAATTTAGAACGGCTTGGCTTGTTCCCAGTATATGAGAAACTCGCAGAGGTCTCGGCACCTGGGACCTTAAGGTGCTTGCTAGTAGTTTGAACTTTTTGCCCCTTTTCCTAAGTTGACCCCTCCCTTCTAATAAATGCCCCTCTTTGTTACTGCCAGTGCTAACGGGGGCTCAGGGTTGAATGTAGAAAGTGATCGGATTAGATGGTCTATCAGATCATCAGATCGCACTTCTTGATAAGTGTACTCTACATAACAGGTTTACATTCGGCTGTCTTTCTCTCCTAAATCGATCTCCGGAGTTTCTTTTTTATCACTCCGAGGGTCCATTGCTGGCCAGTTCTACCACTAACATCCTATGGTCTAAGTATACAACTTACCAGAGGGCGTTCTAGTATTATTGCATTCGGGGGGTGCTGGGCAGTAGTAAGCAATAAAGGGGAAGATGTAAAGAGGCCTTTTGTGGCGCAGGTGGCGCAGGTTATACAGCTCTACTTGTAATATCCAGGAGGAATTCGTAGTTGCAATGCGGTAACTTAGCAAACACTTGATATCTGTAAAGAGAAACCTTCACCCAATGGAATAAATCGAGACCCATAAAATACCGGCACTATATACCGCACCATCAGTGACATTTTCCTACATTACTTTCCTATACTCGTCTTCAGGTCGTCGTAAGTTAAACAGTTTTCTTGGCATGGGAATGATTGGTTCACATAGCTATTCTTGTGAAACGCCAAAGCCTTCTTACCCCTCTTCTACTGTACGTGTAGTCCTCAGCCTGAAGGAGCCCATCGAACTCCAACACAACACCTTTCCACCTCACCCGTTTTATAACCCATCAAACGGCTCCGAGATATACAATATGGCGCAGGAATTATCATGGTTGCCGAATGCCGTTGGCAATACCAACAGCTTCAACACCTCCCACTCTCACAACGTGTCAACAAATAACCATATTGTCAACATCAACACGGGATCAGACGAGGAGAAGGAAAAGATTTTAAAGTGGCTTTCGCCGCTAGAACCTCACCAACGCCACCAAGATGTGCGAAGCGAGCGACTCGATGGTGTAGGGGATTGGCTTCTTGAGACCGAAGAGTTTCTAAAGTGGAGTGATTCTAAAACAGAGAATGGGTGTGATCACACTGTTTTATTCTGTTCCGGCAACCCAGGAGTCGGGAAAACACATCTCAGGTAATCACTCTGCTTTTTAGAAAAGTAAACTGAATTTCACTGACCACAAGCAAATACTGCTCCCAGCTCCTTAGCGATTGATAAGTTGTGCGATCAAGCTACAAGGAAAGATATGGCTGTCACTTGGATGTACTGCGATTTCGCTGCCAATCAAGAACAATCCGCCGCAAACATTCTTGGAGCCATCCTCAAGCAACTCGTGAGGAGTAGAGGGGAAATACCGGCGAAAATACAAGAGGCATATCGAGACGAACCAGCCGGTCGAGCCCCGAGACTCCAGGATGTAAAGGAAATGCTGAAGACTACTGTCGCTCTGCTGCCCCAAGTTTACATATGCATTGACGCATTGGATGAAGCAGTTCCGAAGCATCGACAAGAGTTTCTCAGGTCTCTACAAGATATTGTTCGGGAGTCACCCAGTACGCGACTATTTTTTACTGGGAGGCCTCAAGTCCAAGATGAGGTCAAGAGATGCTTCACGGAGGCTATTATATTTCCCTTCAGTCCTACCGAGGATGACATTAGAAGATATCTGGAAGACAGGCTGGCTCGGGATCCAGAGCCCACTGTGATGGACGATGAATTACGGGCCGATATTATGAAAATAATCCCTAAAACAATCTCGGAGATGTAAGTAGAAATATCAAGGACT